CTTCTCCACTAACAGTGAAACCAACCAGTACAACATTCACATGTCCTCTCTATTGACAGTGAAACCAACCAATACAACATTCACATCTCCTCTACATTAATAGTGAAACCAACCAATACAACATTCACATGTCCTCTCCACTAACAGTGAAACCAACCAATACAACATTCACATCTCCTCTCCACTAACAGTGAAACCAACCAGTACAACATTCACATGTCCTCTCTATTGACAGTGAAACCAACCAGTAAAGCATTCTCATCTCCTCTCCACTAACAGTGAAACCAACCAATATAACATTCACATGTCCTCTCCACTAACAGGGAAACCAACCAATACAACATTCTCATCTCATCTCCATTAACAGTGAAGCCAACCAATATAACATTCACATGTCCTCTCCACTAACAGGGAAACCAACCAATACAACATTCTCATCTCCTTTCCATTAACAGTGAAACCAACCAATACAACATTCGCATCTCCTCTCCATTAACAGCGAAATCAACCAATACAACATTCACATGTCCTCTCCACTAACAGTGAAACCAACCAATACAACATTCATATCTCCTCTCCACTAATAGTGAAGACTAACCAACACAACCATCACATCATATCTCCACTAATAGTGAAGACCAACCAACGCAACCTTCACATTACCTCTCCACTTATAGTAAAGACCAACCAATACAACCTTCACATTACCTCTCCACTAATAGTAAAGACTAACAACACAACCATCACATCATATCTCCACTAATAGTGAAGACCAACAAACACAACCTTCACATTACCTCTCCACTAATAGTGAAGACCAACCAACACAACCTTCACATTACCTCTCCACTAATAGTGAAGACCAACCAACACAACCTTCACATTACCTCTCCACTAATAGTGAAGACCAACCAACGCAACCTTCACATTACCTCTCCACTAATAGTGAAGACCAACAAACACAACCTTCACATTACCTCTCCACTAATAGTGAAGACCAACCAACGCAACCTTCACATTACCTCTCCACTAATAGTGAAGACCAACAAACACAACCTTCACATTACCTCTCCACTAATAGTGAAGACCAACAAACACAACCTTCACATTACCTCTCCACTAATAGTGAAGACCAACCAACGCAACCTTCACATTACCTCTCCACTAATAGTAAAGACTAACAACACAACCATCACATCATATCTCCACTAATAGTGAAGACCAACAAACACAACCTTCACATTACCTCTCCACTAATAGTGAAGACCAACCAACGCAACCTTCACATTACCTCTCCATTAATAGTAAAGCACTCACTCTTCTTGCAGTTTCTGTGTGGAATAACAAAACAAAAAACACTGGTTGATATGGGTCTTGTACATATTTCGGTGGTGTGGTGATTATCGTGTAACGTTAAACCTTCTATGGAACCGGAGAATGAATATAAATTAAGTAACAGCTTGAAGCCAGACGTTTCGATCTAACCTGTATTTGGAAGATATCTGTGATATGAAACTAATCAATATTCGCTCTCTGAGCTATTGAATTAATAAGCATATATTACATAGTAGTTTCCAAGATTGGATTTCAACTTATTTCTATTTCTTCTTAATCTTTCTAGATGCCAGGAGAATTTTTTTAAAGAATTTTTTTCACCAGAGGTGAAAACACACATCCAATTTAGATTTAAATGAAAGGACTGCAGCAACCAGAGTCAGAAGATAAGGGTGAAGAAGTTTATCAAACATCAAAACAACTCACGCTGTATTGTTTACACGATTACTTAAACTCATACTGTACAAGAGATCTTTAGTAATATCCTCAACACAGCTATACCAATATTGACACCTAAACACACACTGTATGAGAGATCTTTAGTAATATCACCAACACAGCTATACCAATTTTGACACCTAAACTTACACTGTACGTGATATCTTTAGGAATATCACCAACACAGCTATACCAATTTTGATACCTAAACTCACACTGTACAGAATATCTTTAGGTATATCACCAACACAGCTATACCAATTTTGATACCTAAACTCACGCTGCACGAGAGATCTTTAGTAATATCCTCAACACAGCTATACCAATTTTGACACCTAAACACACACTGTATGAGAGATCTTTAGTAATATCACCAACACAGCTATACCAATTTTGACACCTAAACTTACACTGCACGTGATATCTTTAGGAATATCACCAACACAGCTATACCAATTTTGATACCTAAACTCACACTGTACAGAATATCTTTAGGTATATCACTAACACAGCTATACCATATATCTAATGTCGCACTGTACCTCAGATCTTTAGTGATATCTTTAACACAGATATACCATTTTTGATACCTAAACTAATACTATACGCGTTATCTCCAGAAAATCACCAACTTAGCAATATAGCTTACTTAGGTAAAAACTAAAAAATCAAACAAAAAAGAACCATACTTGATAATTTAAACACAGACTTGGCTCAATGCCAAGGTCACTAAGAAGTGTTGACTGCCATATTTAACATATATATATAAATATATATATAGTAAGATATTTTACAGCCTTGAGACAGCCCTTAAAAGTTGCGATTTGAAACTCAATGATATCTACACAACTAGCGTACAGAATACGTGAAAAAGCTGACAGAAATTGTGATATATTTTGGTTGTTTGTTCTTTCAACCTGAGAGTGACGTAATAAAGAAAAGGTTTAATTAACAATGAAAACGATAGGCTTTCCTTCTAATGTTGTAATTACAACCTTCAATAACTAATCCCAAACTGATAAAAAAGTAACTTCTAAAGCTAACCCTATATATTGCAGTAAAGCCTTCAACCCGAAACTTTCCCAAGCTATAACAGAAGTTGTTCAAAACAGCCAGTTTACGTAAAACTGATACAAGTTTCTACCTGGTGAAAAGCTAGGTCAAATTCTCTAAAATATATAGACAACGATTCATCAGGAACTGTGTATGGAAATGATTGTAAAACACGTGCACATATCAGAGAAACAACAGACAGTTTTCACTCTGCTATAAGAACGCTGAAAACCTAAGTATGTGAACATTAGTCTAAAGTCAAACACTTTTCTAATGTATAATTCTAAACATAAAGAATAGTATAAATAATGTTAACACGAAAGAAACTATGTTAATAGTAATAATCAACTAATATAAAGATTGTACCTATTTTAATTATGGTTTTCCTAAAAAAATAATTCGATAAGTACGATTCACCTATAAAAGATTTTTAGATTTTATACAATTGATCTGAGGACTTAGAACGCTAGAATCCGGGTTTCGATATCCGTGGTGAGCAGAGCACTAATAGCCCATTGTGTAGCTTTGCGCTTAATTATAAACAAACAATTTGATCACCTTTCTACACGTAAGTTTAATAATGGTTGAAAGTATTTGGTTACATTGGAACAAACATTTTGTTTTAAATATTCTACTGTTTTTCTCCTTTAAGTGTTTGATAACCTCGTGCTTTCCTTCAGCATAAATATATCTACGTTTGTGGTGTTTCGATGTATATATATATATTCACGGTGTTTCAAGATGTATTTTACTCACACAGAGATCCGAAAACGATATAGCTCAGTGATGAATGGTAAATCAGATGATAGGCTGGGCTTCACACTTATTTTTTAAACGTATTGCGTTTCTAACAATTCATGTACATTTCTTGATAATGCCAAGTTAACCCGATGAAACATTGTGAAATAAAAAAACAACTTTAGCAACAGTTAAAGAACCTTCTGGATAATTAAATTTAATATTGTGATCAGCCTTACTGTGGAAATGCTTTTTTATGTTGTTTATTTTAATCAATTAAAGTTGCGAAGTTTCACTCCATAGAAGAGTGATAACTTCAGGCAATGTATGATTCCACTGTAAAGATGATCAAACTATAGAAAGTTTGTTCTATAAATCCGTAAAAATATTATTGAAAACATTTCTATTTTTACCTGTGGAAGCAGGTATATTTGCTCCTACTGTTGCCTTAAAAATGGTATAAATATTTCTAATGTTCTATTTGTAAATGGTATAAATGTTTCTAATGTTGTCTTTGTAAATGGTATAAATGTTTCTAATGTTTTCTTTGTAAATGGTATAACTGTTTCTAATGTTGTCTTTGTAAATGGTATAAATGTTTCTAATGTTGTCTTTGTAAATGGTATAAATGTTTCTAATGTTGTCTTTGTAAATAGTATAAATGTTTCTAATGTTGTCTTTATAAATGGTATAACTGTTTCGAATGTTGTATTTGTAAATGGTAAAACTGCTTCTAATGTTGTCTTTACAAATGATATGTTTCTAATGTTGTTTTTGTAAATGGTATAAATGTTTCTCATGTTGTCTTTATAAATGGTTTAACTGTTTCTAATGTTATCTTTGTAAATGGTAAAACTATTTCTAATGTTATCTTTATAAATGGTTTAACTGTTTCGAATGTTGACTTTATAAATGGTTTAACTGTTTCGAATGTTGTCTTTATAAATGGTATAACTGTTTCGAATATTGTCTTTATAAATGGTTTAACTGTTTCGAATGTTGACTTTATAAATGGGATAAATGTTTCTATTGTTGCTTTAATTTCGTTAAGACACATTTTTGAATTCAGCTTGTATGAACTTGCTTTAATTATATTGCCATCCATCGACTCTTACATCTGGTGAACTAAATCTTATTAACTTCTACAAAATATTCAGAAAACTAAAGTATTATTAATATACAACATAGTTCAACAGTTAAAATTTGCATTAGAAAAAACAAACTCTACCAGCTATAGATGTCACATGCCTCAGAAACTAATATCAAATTAAGCCTTAACCTTCATATAACCCTACTGTCTTAACCTTGAGTTTTCTAACGGTCAAGGATGTGTGACGTTAATGAGGGAAAGGCATAGATTGGTTGCTGACAATCAGTAATTTCCTATAAAAAGGGGATTCCATTTTTGAGAGAGTATCCCTTGTCCTGGTTTCAAAATGAGGGTAGCACTAGGGATAGCTCTCTTTTTTCTGTTGGGTAAGTACTTATTTAATATTGGTCTTAGTTTTAGTGTGATTTTAATTTAATATAGAAAAAATGTCATTGATACCTCAGAAAGCACAAATAAAATATCAATAGGAATAACTTTTTAATAAAGAAAAGAGGTATTAATTAAAATGAAACAAGTATTAAAACTCTTAGAAAACAGCATCACATTTTTTAGACTTTCAAATTTCGTTTTGAATTGGTTTTGGGGTTTCTAACAGAATGTTTGTTTCGTTTTCAGCTTCTACCAACGCCAGACTTGGTATGTACATTTACGATTTCTTATTCGTCAGAACTACAAGTTAAAAACTGTCTTAAACTGAAAATGTATCCACAGTAGATGTGTACCAGATTTCTTTTGATTTGATAACATTATGACTACAGCAAAGTTAAGAAAACTCGTATTTCCAGTACTGTAGTATATTTAAAGATAAAAATAGGCTTATAAACTTCACTTTTGTTGATAAACATTTAAGCTGCTGGGTTATCACTCATATCCACCATATTAATATCTAATACACCATTCTGCCGACAGGAAAAGCTACCAACGTTCATGAATGATAATTTCTACAACCGATACAAAGTTGTACATTACCATTACTAAGATGAGCCTATTTGTTTCACAACGGTTTTTAAATAACGACTTACGGTACTTAAATAACTGTTGATAACGGAGGACCTACGGTACTTAAATAACTGTTGATAATGGAGGACCTACGGTACTTAAATAACTGTTGATAACGGAGGACCTACGGTACTTAAATAACTGTTGATAACGGAGGACCTACGGTACTTAAATAACTGTTGATAACGAAGGACGACCTACGGTACTTAAACAACTGTTGATAACGGAGGACCTACGGTACTTAAATAACTGTTGATAACGGAGGACCTACGGTACTTAAATAACTGTTGATAACGAAGGACGACCTACGATACTTAAATAACTGTTGATAACGGAGGACCTACGGTACTTAAATAACTGTTGATAACGGAGGACCTACGGTACTGTGATTTTCAAAACTTGACAAGTAAAATAAGCTTCGGGGTTAAACAGCTTTTATAAGCGTATTTCTAGTAAGAAACGTCAATAACATTAACAGATTTTCATCTAAAGTAAAGTTAACTTCTTGAGCTTATTTCTAGTAGGACTTCTACTGGAGGACTGCGTGTATGTAGATGAAGAACTATTCAAAGAAGAAAAGTGAAACTTTTTGTTTTTTTCGCAGAAGTCCATTCAGGTCAGCTGTACCGGTACGTGTACCGAGGTCGTCTTTTGTCTGGCATCCCAACACTATCACCTCAGTTCTCTGGTCTCGAGATCCTAAGTGACCTTCTAGTCCAACCGTACCCATCCACGCTGAGTTCTGGACAGAAGGATTATCTAGTAAAGGTGAGTGTTGTGGTCCTTTTCCATTTTGACCATAAAATATAAAAAAAATGGTTAGAAGATTATAATATAAAATGACGTGTGTTTGGATTAAGTCACTTTTGGCCCACCCAGAGTTCATTACAAGCATTGGACGTAATCACTTTTGTGCAGATCTTTTTTTTTTTGTTTCAGCTTGACAATATTCAAGTTGCGAAGCTACTGCATAAGGTAATTCCGGATCCCTATTTTGCTGATATCCCGAAAGATTTCTCTCATTCATCGGATTACGAGAAAGTTTTGGGCAAACCTATCCGGGTCACCTTGCAGGATGGTTTGGTAAGTCATCCTTCTTGTGGAACCATGAAGTACAAAACACGAATCCATTTTTTCTGGTTGTACTTTCACGAACGTAGCTACTGACTTATCCAGTCTGTGAATAATATAACTTCTGTCTGTTATTTCTTATAGCTATGGACTTCACTAATTTATGATTTCTTATTCGTTCTGATTTATGAATTAGGTGATTTTTCATAGCTACTGACATCGTCAGTATTTCATTTAACAATTGATTTATCTAGCCTGTAATTTATCATAACTACTGATTTTTCCAGCGGTAGTCATAGCTACTGACTTCTCTTGTCTGTAACTTGATATAACTATTGATTTATGAATAGTGAACATGTTTTCTTAGGTCACAAGTTTTGAAGCAGACAGCACTGAACCAACTTGGTCTTTGAACATCAAGAAAGGAATTCTAAGCTTGTTGCAGGTTAATTATGGTAAAATAACCACCCAAGAACTGAGTTACGACAACTACAGGTCAAGAGTTCACGTTCGTCCTGAAGTTTTCAGTGTTTATGAGGTAAGGTTTCTTAACAAACTAAAAACATAATTAGGCCTCTTAGTGAAACCTTTAAAACCCACGAAAACCTTGATTTTCATTCTCATCCTTTATATGCATTCAAAACAGACCAAAAACTCATTTAAAATCTATACATTTGAATGTACATTTATGTTTTTAACCAAATTAATACTGCAAAAAATATGGTTAAGTATGAAATGAAATTTCTCTATTACTATTTGTAGAGTCGATATGCGCGTGCTGGAAGTATCTGTGCTCATTATTTTAAAACCAATTAAAGAATTTTAAGAAATATTTCACCAATTCCAAGAATCAAAAGGTATTTTATGAACAGTATTTCAGAAAATATTTATTTTGTTTTAACAAATATTAAAATATATGAGTCATTCAAAATTTTGCTATAAAACAGACATATAATATAAAACTCTTTAATTATAACTTAACTCTTAGTAATGAGTTAGTCCTAAAAGGGGTTTCGTTCCCTAGGACGGAATCGGGGGCGTCTGTGAAACTCTCTACACAGTTGACTCCGTTTACAGTCCTGACGTTCCCGTGTATGATAATGTACTCAACATCACCAAGCTGAAGAACTACAAGAACTGTGTTAAACGACCTTTGTTCGGACATGATAACCATGCCATCCGAGGCTGCCCATGGCTCTGTTCACACGAGAAATTATCAGAAACCGAACCTGAAGGTGTGGAGAAGAAGAGGTCATGTCGCTGTTCAACTGGATATGAAATCGTTAGTACAGGTTTCTGTTGTGTGGAATTCAATTCCTTTAGTGTAGTATAAGAACTACGGTGCTAGGTTATTATATTATTTAATTTGAAAATGAGGTTAAAATTTTTTATAGTATTTTACAATATATGATAGCAACATGATATATAGATTAAAGGTAAAAAGTTAGTTTATCATATATTTCTAGAACGATAACACTAATAATTATTAAACAATTTTTACAATGACGAATTTTTAAGTAATAAGACTTCCTAAACTATTAACATTGTTAAATAGTACACCATTTCTAGAATGATGCAGTTGATGCGTAATAAACTATTTCTACAAAGGTGACATTGTTAAGTTAATACAATCTATTTCTAGAAACGTGACATTGTTAAGTTAATACAATCTATTTCTAGAAACGTGACATTGTTAAGTTAATACAATCTATTTCTAGAAACGTGACATTGTTAAGTTAATACAATTCTATTTCTAGAATGATGACATTGTGAAGTCCTTTGTGTCTACAAAGTACAACATCAGGGGCACAGTGAGCAAGCCAACATTAGAAAGTGTTCTAAGTGACGGCAAGTCGGTTATCAGTATTGATGGAAGTGACGTAGTAGTGTTAGCTCAGTAAGTACTGAAATTTTATAGTTGCTTTTTTAAACACGCTGATGAAAACTCGTCACCCCTTCCCCAATTCCTCTCCTTACTGGGGGGTCCACCAGAGTTATCTGAACTAAACTCCACTAATAAATATAAAAAACCTGAAAGATTAGATATTACATGTGCATAACTGTCATTGGAATGATCGAACTGCTAAATAATCGGAATAATGAGACCGATATCGATTAGAAATCTTGTGAATTTCCTGTATTAATAATTACACTTACAATTTCCAGCCAAAATCTCACCCTGCATTCGGTGGAGCCAGTTCGAGAGATTTCCACAGAACAGTACCGACCAATTAAACACACCAGCTTGACCTACGTGCTGCCGGAATCCCGAGAAGGCGTCCCACAGTCCAATATCTACAAGCCAACTTTATCGAATCGTCCCACAGAATCTGCTCGCTATCCCCGTGACTATCTCCGTCACAGACAGCTCACCTATCGCATACCAAGCATCTTCCAGCATTCTGACTTCCAAAATCAGGAGTTCGTGAAATCTGAGGATTTTCGGCCAAAACAATTTATCGAAGAACCTTATTCTCGACAATATCATTCCTCGGAAGACACCTTGGACATCCCTTACTTGTCTGTTGCAGGGCCTATCGATCGCCGGGAGATGCGAGACACCGCTCGGGACATTCTGGAAAGTCTGACCGTTGACGTTTTACGTGGAGACCTTTCAGTATCAGATGTTATTTCATTCAAAGTCCTGAATCTGGTTAATGCTCTGTCTGTCCTTAAGGTTGATGACTTCCGAGCTCTGTTCCGGGAAGTGCTTGCGGTTGAGCGGAAGTACGGACTCACAGAAAGGGAACAAGTTAAGAGGTGAGAGAAAACTCTGAATTTTTAATCTCGCCAATAATCACACGTTACTTATTTCTAGTCCTGAAATTTAGGTGAAATGTTACCCTGGTTCCCGTTTATCGGTTGCTTCGCGCAAAAAATCTAACTGACTTAAATCTACATAGTTATTCGGATAAATAAACAAACTGACCTAAGTGTACATGGTTACTTCGGACAAATAAACAAACTGACCTAAGTCTACGTGGTTACTTCGGGCAAATAAACAAATTGACTTATGCCTAAACTTATATAGTTAGTACTCTTTGTAAGAAACACAATAGTTTCGGTGCTGAGAGTTTTGTGTTTTTTTTTTTAAGGAAGTTGTTGCTTGATTCTCTTCCCCTCTCCGGAACCAATGATGCTGTTCTAGTGATCAGACATATTATCGAGAAAGGCCTCGTCACTGACTTCGAAGCGCGGGAGCTTGTAGAAGGTCTGCCAAGAAACATCGTATATCCAAATGAACGAACCATCCAGGCCTTATATGTAAGTTATAGTTTTTATAAGAACTTAACCTACATAATATACAGAGAATATCATGTTTAAGAGACAGTTTCAGACAGATTAGACAAAGAAGATTGGTGACTTCTCTGGACTGTAGCTTGAGACGTTAGCCAGATGTAGTCCCCAGAAGTCTCCAATCTAGAAATAAAACCAGAAACACAACATCGAACACAAAGTAGGCCTAGCAGAAAATAAGTAGTTATTAGCGGAATTGGTTGTTAACTTCTAACATCTGTTTCATATAAGTTGCTGTCAACTATTAGGTTTAGTGCTACTCTTTAAATACAAATAGGGCAGGATATTGCTAAGATGTGAAACGTTCGATATTTTAAAAACTTTATAGAAATATCGCTCACTGATAAAAGTTCTAATATCTTCTCCAGGAACTGACCCAGATTCAAAAAGTCCAGTCAAATCGATTTCTTTTGAGCTCAACATTCTTAGCCTTTGCCAGACTTGTTCGTGACGCATGCGTCGTTAGTAACTTACAGCATGACAAGTTAGAACCAAGAAGAGGTCTTCCACAAGAAGAATATGACCCTAAAGCTCCCCTGTGTAGACTAGACATTGTTAAAGACTATATAAAGGTAAGTGGAGTTAATACATTTTACTTACAACAACTGTCTAGAAATACTATTTATAATATCCAATATTTCAACAATAAGTATCCAAAAACACTATTTTTCACTGCCTGTGATATGATCATTTTTAGGCACATTCTAATTATTTGTTTTTCTTTTCACGTAGAAAATCAGTTTACTCCTTGAATCTTCTCAAGATTTCCACGAGAAAGTAATCTACATCGAGACACTGGCTAATATCGGCCACCCCTTGACTTTGGAATACCTCAAACCTTACTTCATTGGACAGTCTCCTAGTTGTCTGAGGCTTAGAAATGAGAGAGATCCAGTGGCAACCTGTAACTACCTTCGTCAAGTCACTATCTACACCTTGCACCATCTTGTTATCCGAGATCCAGAGGTGGTAGGTGTTGCTTTCGTCTGAATATAACTTCATATTAATATACTGTATCTAATACTTTTTTTCACCTCAATCAAAATTTTAAAGACAAATATTAATGTCTGTGTTGTGGAAGCCCCATTTCAGCACAACCACAGAAGGGATCGAACTTTTCACACGACTGCCCTATCAGCTAAAGGGTTAACTCGGTAACTGTTATCAGTAAACGTTTTATTTGTGTTCCAGGTGTTGCCGCTAGTTACTCCAATCTTCTTCAACACGGCTGAGCCTTATGAAGTCCGAATCGCTGCCTTCACTGTGATGCTCTTTACCAATCCTCCTCTGCCTCTTCTCGATCAGATCGTCACACGCCTGTGGTTAGAAGAGAACAAACAGGTGGCCCACGTGGTGTACACCTCTCTCAAGAGTCTGAGCAACACCACCATACCTTGTTTCCAGTACCTGTAAGTATCTGAGTTACATTACCATCTCTTGCTTCAGGTTAACTTTCTGTAGTCACTTGAACCACCTCAAGAGTCTGAGCAACACCACCATACCTTGTTTCCAGTACCTGTAAGTATCTGAGTTACATTACCATCTCTTGCTTCAGGTTAACTTTCTGTAGTCACTTGAACCACCTCAAGAGTCTGAGCAACACCACCATACCTTGTTTCCAGTACCTGTAAGTATCTGAGTTACATTACCATCTCTTGCTTCAGGTTAACTTTCTGTAGTCACTTGAACCACCAAACAATAGCTGTTATTATTTTTCAAGCACTAAGCAGGCACTTGATTTTATGTTCGTGTTTTCTTTTCTTCTCTAGAGCTCAGAAGATTCGTCGGGTAATTGGCGGAATTAAACCTTTTGATTTGGGGCTCAGTTATTCATTTCTGAAAATGTCTGAATTCAATGACAGTAAGTTGAATATCAAGTAAATCTATAATAAACCCGTCCTTAAGTAGAATGTCAATTAACTAAGGATTTTATTAATGTAGAAACTGATATTAGACATTTCTTTCAGTTCCCAGAGACTACAGCTTCAACATGCTCTACCAGTTGACTCACAGTAACGTTTCCACAATCCCCAGAGTAGGTTTCTTCAACATAATGCAAAACACTGGCCCTGTTTGGGATTTCCCAGTCCAGGTGAGATCACCGCCCTCTCGTATCTTTCATTTTAAATTCAAATTCCTTTATTGGTTCAGCCTGAGGGCTTATTCTGAGTATCCATTGATTAAGTTGTAAGTCTAAGGGCTTATGATGCTATAAATGTGGTTTCAATACCTGTGATGGGCACAACATACATAGCCCATTGTGTAAATATATGTTTAACAACAAACAATAAGCAACGTGAAAATTTTAAAAATCCACATATTTAGTGACATTGAAGAGTGTACACGAATTTCATATGTTTGACAATATTGAGGAACATTGTTACTTGTACGCTTTTTATATACTTACTAAAATATTGCACCTAAAAACAATAAAACAAGGTGTCGAGATTATAGTGGGAACTATGAGGTTCTTGACATTTTTATGTGATTTCTCTTTAGCTGTCAATCGTAACTCAAGGCTTGGAACAGGTCTTCGACAGGCTGGTAACCCGTAGCGAGATCCTCTCCGAACTCTCTACCATTCTGTTTGGTCCTACGAAATTAGGAGTGGAGAGGCTGCACGAGCATTACGAAACACTGAGGAAGAAGTTAAACGTGGTTCTACGAGAACCGGAGGAATTAAAGATTAAAGTCCTTTTCCAACTCTTTGAGAGGACTTCCTTATACACCTTTGACAAGGAGCACGTGACAGAGATACTGCAGAGTGGTAAGATATCATTTTAAGGTGTATCTAACGGAGATATCTTAGTCTTGTTATAACGGAGACATTTCACCCTCATTACACTCATTTATTTCACTGAGAAGTTAAACACTGATTTATAATAAACATCTTTAATAAAATTTTCTTACTCAACAGCCATCCAGTTCTACAAAGAACTAGAGCAACAGATACACTCAGGAGTTCCTGGACATTACATCAAGGTAGTCATGCCTGCCTCCTCCTTTAATATTCTACCTTCAGAGATTGGTTTCCCTGTCTTCTTAATCAACCAAAAGCCAATCATATTTTCTGTTCGTGTGCGCGACATTCGTGTTCAAACCACAACAAGTGGCTTTCGCCCTAGGACAGTTGGTGTGGAGGTCCAACCCACGTAAGTCCTGACTCTTTTTCCTCGACAAATATTAGAGCTATATCTCTATATTTTAATGTTGTTTGTGAATTGAGCTTTATTACAAACTTAGCTTGCGTTGCTAATTATTAAAAGTGAAATTATATTTTATGCGAAGACGAATTTGAGATTGTGTGAATAAAAACTTCACATTCTTTCTGACCAGGGTCCATTATTCTTCTAACGTTTTTGGAGGGTTTATCGAACCTCTAACACAAACCAGTTACGGAAGTAGCCTAGTCAAAAGATACCACGTGACGCTTCCTCTGAACATCAGTCTACAACTAGATGTCCGCAGCAATACTTTACGACTAAACATCCAGCCTAGACTCACGAACATCTTCTACCATAAGTCAGACGCTTTTACCTTTGTTCGGAAGGCTGTCTTGGCTCTGCCACCAGAGGAACACTACCTCGGAGATGTCGTACCAATTAGAACTTTACCGACCCCTCTTAAGGTACGTAGTTACACTTTCTAAATTTTACCGATCCTTCTTTAGTGACGTATCCACAGTCTCTAAGATTTACCGATCCCCTTTATTTACACTCTCTAAACTTTATCGATTCATCTTAAGGTACGTATTCCCCACTCTCTACACTTTACCAATCCCTCTTTAGTTACGTATCCACTTTTTCTAAACTTTACCAATCCCTCTTTAGTTACGTATCCACATTTTCTAAACTTTACCAATCCCTCTTTAGTTACGTATCCACATTTTCTAAACTTTACCAATCCCTCTTTAGTTACGTATCCACATTTTCTAAACTTTACCGATCTCTCTTTAGTTATATATCCCCATTTTCTAAACTTTGCCGATCCCTCTTTAGATACATATTCACATTTTCTAAACTTTACCGATCCCACTTTAGATACATATCCACATTTTCTAAACTTTACCGATCCCTCTTTAGTTATATATCCACATGTTATAAACTTTACCAATCCCTCTTTAGATACATATCCACATTTTCTAAACTTTACCGATCCCACTTTAGTCACATATCCACATTTTCTAAACTTTACCGATCCCTCTTTAGTTATATATCCACATGTTATAAACTTTACCAATCCCTCTTTAGATATATATCCACATTTTCTAAACTTTACCGATCCCACTTTAGTCACGTATCCACATTTTCTACATTTTACCGGTCACACTTTTTTTCCCGATATAGTTTTCATCCAATGATTTTTTCTTTACTGTGACACATTGACGACATGTTTATAAGTCGAATTAAAATGACTATTGTAAAGTATTCAAATTCATCTTTGTCATAACCTGCTATAATTATATATCTGTTGAATTAATCATTAAAACAGGTTTGTTTGTTTTTTTACTTCTTATGTCATTTGTAAGATAAAACCATTATATTTTAGTACGATGAGAGATACGGCCAAGACATCTTTGGACTAGGGATCCGTGTACAGGGGGAGGCGGAAACCATTTGGTCTGACCTTCCATTCTATCTCAGTCCCACAAGCCAAGAGAAGGGTTACTTAGCTGGCTTGGTGGAAACCTTCAACAATCCTGGCAACAGATACCGTGAATTCGTCGTCTCGATTGAGTCAGACCACCAGACTCCAATCTATGAGGTTAGAATTTAACATGATAAGTATAATTAGGAAATAGTCAGTATTTACCAATAAAGTTACAGCGCTGTTTATGACATATTTTATAAACCGTTTTCATCTATTTTATTAATATATTTCGGTCTTTTGTGAGACTTTAAACCAATATTAAGATTATATTACCTTTGGCCTTGTGTGAGACTTTAAATCAATATGGAGATTATATTACATTTGGCCTTGTGTGAGACTTTAAATCAATATGGAGATTATATTACATTTGGCCTTGTGTGAGACTTTAAATCAATATGGAGATTATATTACATTTGG